GGCGAAACCAAGGAGCTGGATGGACTTCCTGAATATCGTGCCACTCGTGTCTATCCCAGCTCTTCTGATCACACCTTCTAACGCGATGTTGAACAGCAGACACGAAAGTCCATCACCCTGCCGTAACCCCCTTCGAGATTCAAAGGGACTCGAGAGTGTCCCCGATACTCGAACAACGCACATCACTCGATCCATCGTCGCCTTGACCAATCGCGTCAGTTTATCCGGAAATCCGTACTCGTGCATAATCTGCCAAACAAATGATGTGTGGGCACGTTGTATTCGCGGCATTTCTGCAGAACCTGCCGAATCGCGAAAATTTGGTCCACGAACTCTCTTGCATATGGTGACAGACGGCGGCATAGAATTTGGGAGAGTACCTTGTAGGCGGCGCTCAGCAGTGTGATCGCGCGGTAGTTGCAGCAATCCAACTTGTCGCCCTTTTTGTAGATTGGGCATACGACACCTTCCATCCACCGGTAATATCTCCTCCTCCCAAATCTTGGCAATTACCCAGTGCAGCGCTCTAGCCAGTGCTTCACCACCGTATTTCAATAGCTCACTTGGTAGTTGATCTACACCAGTTGCTTTGTTGTTCTTCAGCCGACCGATCTCCTCCTCAACTTCTTGAAGATCAGGGGCCGGTAGCCTGTCGTCTTCTGCGCGTGCTCCAAGGTCTGTTGCCGTGCCACCTTCGTTTTCTGCTGCTTCACCGTTGAGGTGCTCGTCATAGTACTGCTTCCACCTCTCAATCACCTCACACTCGTTCGTGAGAAGATTACCGTCCAAGTCCTTGCACATATCGGCTTGCGGCACGTAGCCTTTGCGCGAACTATTTAGCTTCTCGTAGAACTTCCGTATGTCGTTTACGCGGTACAGATTTTCCATCGCCTCGCGATCTCGGTCTTCCTGCTGACGCTTCTTCCTTCGGAAAACCGAGTTTTGTCTGTTCCGCGCTTGTCTGTATCGCTCCACATTCAATCTCGTGCGGTGTTGCAGCATTCTCGCCCGTGCTGCATTCTTCTCCTCTACTAACAGTTTGCATTCGCCGTCAAACCAGTCATTTCTTCGGTCCGGGATTGCAGTACCTAGTGCCGCTGCAGCAGTACTACCTATGGCTGAACGGATGTCCCTCCAGCCATCTTCAAGAGAAGCTGCGCCAAGCTGCTCTTCCGTGGGTAGTGCAACTTCCAGCTGCTGCGCGTAGTCCTGGGCAACTCCGGTGTCCCGTAGTTGCTCAATGTTGGGTCGTGGCGTTCGACTTCGACGTGTGTTATGCACCGTCGAGAGTTTTGAGCGCATGCATACTGCAACTAGGTAGTGGTCCGAATCTATGTTCGCACTGCGGTAAGTGCGGACGTTGATAATGTCGGAGAAGAATTTCCCGTCGATTAGAACGTGATCGATTTGGTTTTCTGTGTGTTGGTCAGGTGATCTCCAGGTGGCTTTGTGGATATCCTTGCGGGGGAAAAAGGTACTTCGAACTACCATACCCCGGGAGGCTGCAAAGTTCACGCATCGTTGGCCGTTGTCGTTCGATACGGCATGCAGGCTGTTTGGCCCGATTGCCGGTCTATACATTGCCTCCCGTCCTACCTGAGCGTTCATGTCGCCGATGACGATTTTGACGTCCCGTTGCGAACAGCCGTCGTACACCTGCTCCAGCTGCGCATAGAACGCTTCTTTCTCGTCGTCGGGTCTCCCTTCGTGTGGACAGTGCACGTTGATGATGCTGTAGTTGAAGAAACGGCCCTTAATCCTCAACTTGCACATCCTCGCGTTGATCGGCTGCCAACCAATCACGCGTTGGCGCATCTTACCCAGCACTACAAAGCCGGTTCCCAGCTCGTTGGTGGTGCCACAGCTCTGGTAGAAAGTAGCCGCTCGATGCCCGCTTTTCCATACCTTTTGTCCCGTCCAGCAAAGTTCCTACAGTGCTACGACTTCGAAGTTGCGTTTTTTTTTTTGCATTTAAAAAACCTGAACACCCCTCATTTTGAAGGTGTGTGTGTGTGTAGAATGTTGCTCCTATTTTGATTTTGGAATTCACTCTTCAGTTGTCAAAATGCCGTCCAAGCAAGAAGAGCAGCGTATCAAAATTTTGCTCGCGCATCTCGAAAATCCGAGCTACTCGCACGCAAAGTTGGCAAAATCGCTAAAAGTTGCCAAATCAACCGTTACAAATGTAATTAAAGTGTTTGGGGAACGTTTGTCGACAGCCAGGAAGTCTGGATCGGGGGGAAATCGAAAACCGGAAGCCGCTGAGACGACAAAGAGAGTTGCCGGTAGTTTCAAGCGAAACCCTAACCTCTCGCTCCGAGATGCCGCAAATAAGCTGGGTGTATCGTCTACAACCGTGCATCGAGCCAAAAAACGAGCCGGACTATCGACTTACAAGAAGGTAGTGACTCCAAATCGCGATGATAAACAAAATACGACGGCCAAAGCGCGATCCCGGAGGCTGTACACGACGATGCTGACGAAGTTTGACTGCGTGGTAATGGACGACGAAACCTACGTCAAAGCCGACTACAAGCAGCTTCCGGGACAGGAGTTTTATACGGCAAAAGGAAGGGGAAAGGTAGCAGATGTTTTCAAGCACATGAAACTGTCAAAGTTCGCAAAGAAATATCTGGTTTGGCAAGCCATCTGTACCTGTGGCTTGAAAAGCAGCATTTTCATAGCTTCCGGGACTGTCAACCAAGAAATTTACGTGAAAGAGTGTTTGAATAAACGTCTGCTGCCTTTCCTGAAGAAACACGGTTGTTCCGTACTGTTTTGGCCGGATTTGGCATCTTGCCATTACGGTAAAAAGGCCATGGAGTGGTACGCCGCCAACAACGTGCAGGTGGTTCCCAAGGACAAGAACCCTCCCAACACGCCAGAGCTCCGCCCAATTGAGAAATACTGGGCTATTGTCAAGCGGAACCTAAAGAAGACCAAAAACTGCTAAGGGCGAGCAGCAGTTCAAGGCAAACTGGCTTTCTGCGGCGAAGAAGGTGGACAAGGTGGCTGTACAAAATCTGATGGCAGGGGTCAAGCGTAAGGCCCGGCAATTCGGATTTGGAAAAGCAGAAGCCAAACTGAATATTTTTCCTGAATTTTATACTAATCGAACTTGAAAAAGAAATTTAATTTGATTTTTTAAATAAACGATTTCACCGATTTACACGCGTTTTCCCTTGACCAAATTTTGACCGTATCACCCTTTATCGCAACCCGGGAAGCTGAGCGATTTGCAGTTCCATGTTCCGAGTTTCCAATCGTAGTCCTTATTTCGTCGCGTAGGTCTGTGCCGATTGTTCCGATCCGTATTTCTTTCTTCGGTATTTGCAACTTTGTTTTTTTTTCCAGGGTGGCTTGTTGGGCCTGCCCCAACCCCCTGTCTCGCCGGGGGACCATCGTGCACAGCTCTGTTTAGAGTCCCACGCTGGCACTAGGACGGTGATCAGCCGCTCCTAACATGGAGAACAGACGCCGTTTTGAGCCGCACCTCCATGGTGAGCAGACGCTCAGGTTTGGTGAAGCATTTCCTCTATCACCGTACTATGGTTACCGCGCCAGTGTTCGCGTCGCACCTCTTCACTTTGCTATTGCCGGACTGGCAACATTGCCCAGGCTACGCCAACCAGCTGTGTCCATGTTTCAGCTGGTAGTCTTTTGTTATCATATGACTCAAGGAGGCGTGAAGTAGGAACTTGTGAGGACCAGGGCTAGGTATTCCGCTCCTTCCAGGTTGTCAACTCACCATTTTGTAGCCCAAATTAACTCGCAGCAAATATATTTACTCTAAGTACAGCTGTCTTGCCCCTAGGTTCAATTGGTAGACGTGGCTTCACTCTTGGCGTGACTCATTATACACCGACTCTAGGCCAGGGCCCAACAAGTTCACTTCCATTCTAAAATCGTCAAGCGACGACGAAGCTGTGAACTATCACTTTCAATTGAAATTCATTGGCGTTGACGGCACTGTCGAAAAATCGTATCTTCTTCGATGGAGTGAAAGGATAGCAAAGTCCACCATGTTTCACGCACAGTTTTCCGTTTACTTATGGATTTTACCATAGGAGTAAAGAGCTACACCGTCAACGCCAATTCTGTCTTCTCTTCGAGCAGATCCCCTTCAATTGACCACTTTATCAAGCAGTTTTGGTGTGACTCTCTACCAGCGATTTCACAAAACTGGACCAACTAATTTCTATTTTTTAATGAAACGCACAAATTTTGGTTACTTTTCTCGTGGGTCTAGTAGAAAAAAATCTCAAAATAATGTTTTATTTCAAAGTTCGAGTGGTAGTAAACGTCATTTTAACTGCTCGAATGAAGTGGTTAATATCAACAGAATCACTTTCGATCAGTTTTCGTGCTGTTTTTTTTTTTTGGCTTGACTCGTGTTCATTTCGTCTTTCATTGTCAAATGAATTTACTTTCGATCCAAATTCGCGCAGTTTTTCTGACTTTTGTTGACTGTTCACTGATTGTTTATAGCGAAGTGAGTGGAAGCAACCCTGCTCGAAGTGAATATTTTATTTTCATGAAATAGAGATGTGAACTGTTAATGTTTGAATTTAAGGGGGACAGCAAACAACGCGAGACAGCATCGCGACACTGCATAAAAATCACAGGAACCGTGTTGTATTTCTCGCGCGCATGCGCATTTAGAGTAGAAATTTTTGTGAATGTGGAATACTGCGTGCTATAATGATGCACTCGATTACATGACTTGCTCATTGCAGATATAATTTGCTCGCAGGAGTATTTAAATGAGTTACATATTAAAACGGCACTAAATTTCAATACTAACCGACAAACTCATCTATCTACACATAAATACCAACATCATCAAGGGGCAAAAACGGATCGTCATAGCCTGCCGTAATCAATGAAAGTAGGGGGAAATCTTGTCTGTATTCGTCACCCAATCGAGCTTACGTTTATGGGCAGCAAGTGAAACCGCACTGCGTTGTGTAGTGTAGCCCTAGCAGCAGTTACTAGCGACTACGAGAGTTCAATATCAAGACCGCGAGCGAAAAGGTTCCCCATATATATTTTTTGAGTGACATAACCTCCCCGGTGTGGTGCACCAAACCAACAGGAAAACAACAACAAAACAGACGAGACGAAAAGAGCTTTTCCGTTTTATCTGCTTTCTTCGTTTCTTCGAATCAACGCCGCCGCGATCGATTGCGTTTTCGCTTCGCGTTGCATTGTGTGCAGTGGACTATCCATCATCATCTTCGTAGTCGTCGCCCCTCAACCTAAACATCGCACAGGTAAGCCCCCATCAAATTCACTTTCATCCGCGTTCGGTTGTCCAATATTTATGTTGAACGAAAACTGGTAGTGAGTGAGCAAAATCTGTTAATTACATGGATTTTTTAGTTATGCACAGATGTTCCCTCCCCCCCCCCCCCCCCTCCCTTCGCGACGTTTTGAGGCTGAACTGGTATTGGTGACCTATTGTTACTGAACCAACCTACTGCTACTATGTGTCATTCGTCGCACAATAATTTCTCCCAAGTCCCAAGCACCGCACCACGCTTTCGGAGTTGACACGACGACGACGCTCATTCGTAGTAGTGCAGCTGTATTTTGATGTGATTTTTAAATCGACTGTCTCTCCAGTCCGGTTTTGTTACGAAAACCAACCACTTCCACCGAAAATAAAAAAAAATCATTTTTTTGGGCGAAAGTAGACTCTGCCCTCCGCAACGCAACGTCGCCAGTTGAAACGCCTTTAGTAATCGGGTAGCGCTACTAGCGGACACAGTTCGAAGTCGGTTAACATTAAGTGGACCCTACACGATTGCTTTTATTGACAATAATCGTATTGTCAATTACATCGGTATTAACAATAGTTCAGTGTCCTGTGTGTTATTGCCAATATATTGGATACGTGTGGGTTTCGCTTTAGTGTTCGTTGCACACCTTCGTCGCCACTGATAAGAACTCCGGGTTCTAGAATAATCCTCCCTGTGCGCCTGTATTATCATTCCAATCCAGCACGTTCATGTGATTCCAGACAGACGGAAAAGTTAAGAAAGTTCCATCGGTGTGTGCGCACTATCGAAGCAATCGGTTAGGTTTATATCTGTAGTGTTGCTCGGCGACGACGTCAACCACGATCGCGCGCTCTCCAGGTCACTGGAATTGTTAGGTGGCGAGTTTCGTTAGTGTTCAATCTCGCTTCGCTCTTATCGGGTCGCAAAGGTACCTTTTCTAGATTTCGCTCCGTTGTCGTTTTATTTTCCGGCTTATCACGTAGTTATCGCACGGCGATGAGTGTTTCGTGAATGGTTCGACTGTGATAATCAAAAATTGCTCTAAGAATAGTGTTTGTATTCTGTTTCTTTCCCGTTGCTGCAATAATCGGATCGGAAAACAAGGTGCGTTCCGGAGCGAATTTCCAGCCAGTCAAAATTCTACCAACGAGGAAAAAAATGGTCAACGCATACGACATTTTCGGTGGGGTGTGCGTTTTCATCGTTTCGGTGCAGCTACTGCGGAAGGTGTTCCCATGGATCTACGAGAACCTGCTCGGACCGAAGCTGTTCGGTTCCGGCGTGAAGCTGCGCGAGATGGGATCCTGGGCATGTAAGTATCGAAGAACAATTATCGATTAAGTTTTGTTTACGTGCATGGATCACTGTAGTTGTTATTGACAAGTACGGGTCTGCTTTATCTTTTAAAAAAGTTTACTTATTGAAGAAAGCAAACTTATTGAACGGTAGCTAGAAGCTTCAGCTGGATTTTTATCCGGCTTCAAAACTGGAACAACTTTTGCATTTTTCCATTCATCAGGAAAGTATGCCAAATGGAAACATCTGTTAATTAGTTTGACCAAGAAAGACAAAGTACTCTCTGGGAGTTTCTGATGGGCATATAGAAAATTCGATTATCACCTGCAGCGTTCATATTTTGAAACTTTTTAGTTATAGATCTTACTTTGCCCAAATCAGTCCCCCAGGAATCTTCAAAAGTATGTTCCCTAGAGGAAATATTCAGATAATCCCGAGCCACTTGATTTTCAATAGGACTAGTAAGACCCAAACTGAAATTATGAGAACTCTCGAATTACTTAGCAACTTTCTGAGCTTTCTCCGAATTTGTTATCCAAATTTTACTACGCTGGAATAGCAGTTTGTGAGTTTCCAAAAGGACTTGGAACTCGGGTCTAATTTCAATACTTAATTTTCTAAAGTTTTGTTTCTCAGGACAAAAAATCACGTTTTAATTTGTTTTTGAAAATCCCGCCAAATAATTTTCATGGCAGGATCGCGTGTGGACATTTTTGAGATGGATGAAGAGCAGAAGATCGTTTTCCAAAATAATTGAACCGAATTTAACCTCGCAATTTGGTACTGAGGCAGCTCTTGCTTCAATTATAGAAGTATATTATTATATATACATATTTCGATCAAAGTTATATTCCATAAATGTAGGGTCTATGGTAATTGAGCTATTGGAATCAGAAATTATTTCTTGGGATATTTCAAAAGTTACTGGAAGGTGATCAGAACCGAAGTCAGCATGGGTAACCAATTGGCTACAAAGTTGACATGAATCAGTTAAGACCAAATCAATAGTTGAGGGAGTTCTTTCTGAAGAAAAGCATGTTGGGCTGTTTGGATATTGAATAGTGTACCTGCAGAACAATCAACACACTGAATATCTCCAATGGAATTGCTATGAGCATTATTCCATGAGCGGTGTTTTGCATTAAAATCACCAATAATGAGGAATTTAGACCTATGACGGGTAAGTTTCTGAAGGTCACACTTTTTTGCTGGCCTACGAATTGGAATGGAAAATAGGTAGCTATAAAAGTAGGTTGTCCAAATATTGCTTCTACAGAAACTTTTCGCAGAGTAAAAGAAATAAGTCCGCTCGGGTTGAGTGGCTAAAGACTATTGACAATTTATTTCGATTCAACAACTACTGTTGCTACGTAGGTTGCTAAGGTACAGTAGTCTATAAGGCAATATGTACAAAGCATAGGACATCGTAGGTTACCTCGATCTCTTCTAACACTCCTTCCTAAGCTACGAATCCTAATAATATCTTGAATTCTTCCAGCTTCTGAGTCATCAGCCGTTTGGTGCTAACATATTCCAGCTCGACGACTCCTCTTTCTAGCACATTTTTGACGAAATGATACCTGATGTCTAGATGTTTGGTTCTGGGATTGTAGTCTTGATTACGTGCGATACAGATGGCTGATTGATTGTCACACCGGATCGAAATCCCTTGCATACCAAAAATCTGTGACTGGAAATGGTGCCACCATAATGCTTCCTGGGTAGTGCGAGAAAGCGCGATGCATTCCGCTTCGCATGTGGATAGCGCCACTGTTGATTGTCGCTTAACATTCCAAGACACCGCTCCTCCCATGAACGTGAAAACATAACCGATTGTAGATTTCCTGGAATCTGGATCTCCTCCCCAATCGGCATCTGTGTAGCCAACCAAATCCTCGCAGTGCTCCTTTGAGTATGTCAGCCGAATTGAACTAGTACCTCGCAGGTTCCGGACGATGCGTTTGACAGCATTCCAATGGCTAAGTCCGGGATTGCTGTTGAATTGGATAACTTGGTTAACCACAAAACTGATGTTTGGCCGCGTCGCCTGCGCCAGATAAGTGAGACTTCTTCAGTTCAGTTTGACACTAGCCTCCGCTGGTGTGGAGACTGGATTACAGTTCGCCAGATTGAACCGTCGCAAAATGCTGTCGATGTAGTGCTCCTGATCTACCCACAGCTTTCCGTTCTTCCTATCTCGTGTGATCTCCAATCCCAGACAGAAAGTCGCTTCGCCAAGGTCTTTCATTTTGAAGCGATTGGCGAGGAAAATCTTCAACTTCCGCTTTAACTTGGCATCGTTGGTGAAGATTAAGAAATCGTCGACCTAGATGGTGGCTCCGCTCCAGTCCAAACTCCTTTAGCGCTTCATCCAGCTGGTTGTTCCACACAGCGCTGGATTGTTTGAGGCCATATAGTGCATTTCGCAAAAGACAGACTTCCTTCGAATTACCAGCAAACCCTTCCGGTAGGTTCATAAAGATGACTTCATCCGTTAGCTTCCCTTGAAGGAACGCATCCATCTGCTCCACATCCAAGTCGTGCTTCACTGCCAGCACCAGATGGTATCGGACGGTGGAATACCGTACCACCGGGGAATACACTTCGTCAAAATCAATGCCTGACCGCTGCGAGCACCCTTTCACGACCAGACGAGCCTTGTACCGCTCGATTTCACCAGTTGCTCTTTGCTTTGTTTTGAAGATCCACTTGTTCCGAATAGGCTTACGATCGCTTGGAAGGTTCGTCAACTCCCACGTTTCGTTTTCTTCCAAAGCAGTGATTTCTTCACGCATGGCCGCGATCCACTGTTCGCGGTCCGGTCCATTGATCACGTCCTTGTAGCTTTCGGGGTCATCAAACGGCATCTCGGATTGTATCGGTGAGGGCAGGGTGAAACAACTTTACTAGTTATTATAAGTAACATAATCGGAATACTTGCCTAGAAATCGGCGCTCCCGACCACTGTGCCTAAACCCTTGCTTTTCAGCTGGTCTATCAGATTGCAGCGGGAGCGCAGGCTCGTTGTCGGCATCCTCGCTGGCGGCATCTTCGTATCTTTAATGATGTCGTTGCTACCCATACTTGGTTGTTCGATCGTATACAGCTCCATAAACTGCACCTGTTGCAATTTTTTTTCGACGAGCTCGAGCAAATCCTGCGGTTCGCCTTCTTGAATCACAATCACGTCACGGCTGATTTGGATGTCACGCTTGACCGGATCATATACCCGATATCCCTTGATATCGGCGGCGTATCGAACGAAAACTGCTTTTTGGGATTTCGTGTCGAACTTCTTCCTCCTTTGCTTCGGTACGTGGACCAGTACTAACGATCCGAAAATTCGCAAATGTCTCAGATCTGGCTTCTTACCGGTCCATGCTTCCACCGGTGTCATCTCAAGGGACTTCGTTGGACTCCTGTTTACGAGGTACGGTGCCGTAGAAACCGTCTCGGCCCAAAATTCCTACGGGAGACGTGAATCGTTCAGCATGCTTCTGGCCTTCACGATAAGCGTCCGGTTCATCCGCTCCGCTACACCGTTTTGCTGAGGTGTGTTTTTGGTGACGCACTCCATCCTTCTCCATGCTGCTTCTGAACGGTACATTGACGTTTTCGGTCCCATTGTCCGTCCTCAAAACTTTCAGCTTCCGCCCGGTCTGCCTTTCGGCCATGGACTTGAACTTCATGTATGCTTCGAATACTTCATTTTTTCTGTCCAGAAAATACAGGCAGACCTTACGACTCGCATCGTCGATGAACATCATGATGAAACGACTTCCACCTAGTGAAGGGACCTCGATAGGACCAACCAAGTCGGAGTGGACTAAATCCAGCAGCCCTTCGGCTTGGATTACGTGTATGCTTACCCTCGATACAAGCAATGCATTCGGGGATCGTTTCGTAAGCTTTGATGGTTGAGGTGTCCCAGTCGTCTGTGCCAGATGCTTGTGCTCGTTGTAAGTAACGATCCCTCGTTCCTCCGATTGAGCTTGTACCCGATGCAATCACGTTGCCATCACCTTCGAGTACTTCACATTTCTCTGCATTGAAGACTACCGTTAATCCCTTCCGACAAATTTTGCTGATCGATATGATTTAGTGGTTCCAGAATGTGCAGCCCTTCTTGAACTTCGATGGGGCCTTTACACAGCTCGAGATTGACCAGTCCCTTCGCGACCGACTTCGTTCCCACAGAACGCGACAATTCTTGTTGCTTCACAAAATCGTTGTCACTTCGGGACATGTGACATGTGGCACCAGAATCGAAGTACCACTCCGAGGCGCTTACATCGCCTATCTCAAAAACGCTACACAAAGCTTTACCAAACGTTCTTGGAGGATTTTGCTTCTGTGGACATTTTGTTGCAAAATGCCCTGTCACTCCGTTGCCGCCACGGCGCTTCGATTTTGGATAGAGTATAACGCACCGTCTCCGCTGCCATTGTTCGGTCCGCTTTGCACCTTTACGTCTGCAAAATGTTTGCCTTATTTGCGTCAGACGTCAACGCAGTACCCGATGCCTCAAGTCGCCATAGTCATGGGTTCGTAATGTTCCGGGATTCCCATCAGCAGCAACGCAGCAAGCCATGAATCAATCGAACTTGAAACCGATTCCTGTAAGTTTGTGTGCCGTGGGCATCAACTCGTCGACGTACGATTGCACGCTACCGCAATTGTCCAACCGGATCGACGTTAGCTTCCTCAGCAACCCGATTTTTTGCGTCAGACCGTTATCCTGAAAAGCATTCCGCTTCCTTGGCATTAGTCGCGTCCTGGACCAGACTGTAATTTGTCGTCTCCAGGATCAAACAGATGGTGGCCAACGCCCGAAAACTAAGCTCTCGGTCGACTTCCTGGCCGTCCCGTGGCGACACAGAGCACCAGGATCCCTCGCAAATGAGTGTCATTTTTATGGCGAAAGCCACGTCGTGTAATTTTCGCGACCCTTTAGCTTTTCGATAAACGGCATGCCGTCTCCACTGGTTCGTCCGTTCCCAGCGGTTGGCACTCCAG